ACCTGATGTATTAATTCTGGTTGTGCTTACTGACCACGAACCGATTTTATGTGGTACACGGTGCTCAAAAATCTGTCAAAATGAACTTGTTTTGCTTAATGTGCCTTATAGCCTGAAAAATACAGTATGCTCGTTCATGCTCTTTAAAATAATAAAATAATATAATTTAAAAAACTTCCTCCATCATTTGATGTTTTATTGCATATCCCCTGTTAACTGTAGAGCCACACAAGGCTGAGGATGCAATGGAAAGCAAACAGAACGGTGCCGTGTACACACCCTCCATCGTTTACTCAGCTATAAATGTGATAATGCAAACACACAAAGATCTGTTGCAGACATTAATGAAAATCCAATAAAAGTCACACATTTGCCCCGATGGGAGTTTCACAGGAGTTTTGACACAAAGCTAGCATTGTGCTATCAGACACACACCCGGATCAATGAGGAATGTGTAGGTCTGAGGAAAAAATGAGCAAAATAGTCTTTGCAATAACACATACACATTCACAGCTACACTACTGCTTTGTGGAAGTCAAGTTCACAACTAATACCTTGCACATGCACAAATAAATACTGCTTTAGAGTTTAAAGTGCATCAGTTAGTTAGTTATTTGCTTGATGGTTCAAACTAAAAAACTTTTTTTTGCAACTTGACAGGTTCAACTAGAAACCAAATGCTTATTATGTTTATGATGCAAAGCAATGCATCATATGATTTCATACAATATGATAAACAGTATACAATATGACATAGAACAACAAATTATAAAGTGCAAAGAAATGCTTTATAGTCTGACATCTGTTTTAGCATCATGTGTCCAGGCGTGTAACTCACCTTTCATACAATGACTGCTGGAGATCAGCGCCAGCTCCCATTTTACCCTGGAAACGCAGGCAAAGAAAAAGGATGGATAGCTGCAAAAAAATCATAAACAAATGTACAACAAAAGAAATATTCACAACACAAACATATCCTAAGTTATAAATTATGCAAATTTCGTTATAAAAAGAGTTGTGTTTCCCAACCCATCAGCAACTGCAGTATTTAAAAGTTTGGTCAGAACTAAAAATAGTATTAGTAAATGTTTACTATGATTTAACTCTTCAGTTTGCTTTTGAAAGATGAAGGATGAGTGGCTTATCTAAGAATATGTTTTGCACTTGTCTGCATGTATTGGAGAAAGGTTTTCATTGCTACCTCTCACTTTCAATGCAGACTAGTAATTATAATGGCTTAGTCTGCCTTATGTTGTTTGTGTTTGTTTTTAACTCAAAGGTTATAACAAAAATTTTAAACCACTCAAACTACCTTAATATATATATTTTTGTAAAGAAAAATAATTCAATTTGCCAGGTTTATGTAATATTTATTGCACAGCTTAAGCTCCCAAAAAGCATAAATCAAATGTTATGTATTTTGCATTTATCGCACCTTTTTTTTGTCTCAATCTAGATGTTGAGCTCTATACTGTTTGCAGCTGTTGGCGTTTTGGGTGCAGGTTACTCAGTCGTTGTGTCTGGTGTGGCCATCAGTCAAGGACCTCTCTGTCTCTTTAACGACACTAGCACCAACGAAACAACATGGACTCAGCCCTTTGCAAATGGGTAAGGCAAACAAATTTGCAACATATTTGCACAAGAGATAATTCTGAGTTTGAACACCAATATAAGGCTTTAGTTTTTCATTGTTCCTTTTGTTGCTGCAAATTAATTTTGGCTATGTCAGTGAAGGTGAATGTAACTTGATATAAGTTCTACATAAGATGTAATAAGTTCTCGTACTGCAAGTGTTGTCCTGAACAAAATGCTAAACTAACATTTAAGATAATTGTTTTAACAAATGTACCAATTAATAGTAATGGTGCTACTTTTGGTGTTATTCTCTGACAAAGAAAGAAAATATATATAGTTACATTAACAATGGACTTGATTACCTGGTGTTTAAAAGATGAGTGTGTGCAGACTAAAAAACAAACTGTCTCTTTTCCTCTTTTACCTCAGCAGGGATTACCTGTCCAATAAATACCTGTGGGATTACTGCATAGAGCCAAAGAATGTGGTATCCTGGCATTTGTCTCTGTTCTCTGTGCTGCTGGTGATGGGTTTGATCCAGATTGCACTGTGTGCCATACAGGTAGTGAATGGTCTGCTGGGGGCTCTGTGTGGAGACTGCTGTGGCTGCTGTGGAGGGGTCAGTATCCAATCTGATAAGTGATGTTTTCAGCTCTTAACATTTTAAAACACAACTATTTGGTCAAAGTATGACTACCAGACACATGAAAATGTTAATAATGTTTGTCTTTCAGAGTGATGGGGCCGTATAAGCACCTCCTGTGGCTGAAGCCAGTCTTTTCTTTATTTATTCTGTTTCCTGAGGACGGCTTTTTCATTTGATCTCTTTGATGTACATTTATGTTTCTGAATAAAAGCTTGTTGATTACAGTGCGTGATCTTAAAACACTGTTGAAATGATAGAGCTTTTTAAGGGTTGCCATATACTCTTAAGAAAGCAATTATGGCTCTGTTTGTATTCATCAAAAATAATTGTTCATCTGTTGACACAAAATTTCCCAGCTATCCACTATATTTAATGATTTTTCTCCTGCCATATGTATTTATTTAGTTTCATTTTATTTATCGTTGTTTGTTTTGTTTTGTCAGAACTAGCTCTCTTATATCACTTTAATTACAGTACTGTTTATTGATTAATTTTTTTCATGAGTACTCCAGCTTCATGACTGCCCCCTAGTGGCCACCAAACATTTCACAAATGCTCTTCAAATTGTCCATCTACCAAACTGTTAACAAAAAAAAACCTTGGACATTTTGTTTAATCTACTATTTTATAGAAATACATTCCATAAGTACAGTACAGTTTTTGTCTCTTTTTTTTGCATGATATTTTATGGGATTTTAACCTGATTGGCGGGCTAATAAAGTTGATTTTTTTTTTTTTTTAAGTTCACAGTAAAAAAGGTGTCTATATTGAATCCTGACTCACTAAGTAATCAAATTACAACAGTTAACAACAGTGACAAGAAATGCTAAAATTTAAAAGTTCCTATTTAAATTAACCACTTTGACTGTCCTTGTATCTGACAAAAAATGTAATTAAATAAAATAATAAATAACATTTGTTCATGCAAAATCCTTCTGTTGGAGCTCATGTGTGCGTGTATACAACACACACACAGACACATATAAATATATAAATATATATATATGTATATATATATGAATATATATACGAATATATATGTAGGCCATGTTTCTTTTCTTTTTTTTCACTTGGACTCAACACGAATTTCAATTTTAATGTTTAATGTTTTGCACTCCCCCCCCCCCCAAAAGAAAAAAAAAAAGTTTGGTTTTAGCAATAAAGGAAATAAATGCTTCTTGCATTGTTATTTATCGTACACCAAATTAGGTATTCATTAATTGCTCTTATTAGAGTTTTCATTTCATTAATTCATTAAGGAATATTCGTCGTGGGTTGTTTTATTCGCGGAACTATTGTTCTGGTCATGGACTACCACGGAAAGATTAAGCCGCGTACCAGTTAAGCCATAACTGAAATCGCGTATAACATCTGAGTGGAAGACAAGAAATAAAACAGTGATTTTGTTTGCGAACTGATAAGGAGATAAATACCGTGTTCGCATTTATGAAGAGTGGCTTTATGTTATACGAGCAGACTATTTTTTTAATCGAGTTACGCTCGTCTTTCGGTGACTTGTTGGCGGCGCACGATTTAACTTAACGTGTGTGTTCCTGTGCAGGTCAGTCTTTAATTTACCCTTGATGTATTGTCAGTATTTAATTCTAGTTCATAAGTTTTAAAGTTATAAATTGTTTATAATTAGATCTATCATTTGTATAATTTTTTATTTCGTAAATCTTGATTTACACTTTCTTAATGTCAAGAGATTTATCCAGTAAATATTGTTCTTTTTTTCTTTTCTTAGATGCTCTCTGCTGTATTAAGAAGCACCTTTGCAGCCCAGAGGGTAACAAACTAATTATTTTGACCCCACAAGATATATTGCTCACATAATAATTTGTATTTTCAAAATATATATTTTTTGTTTTTGTCCTGTTTTTTTATCTTAAAATTAGGTTCTGCAAAGGGCCCATCCTCCACAAAGATGTTGGACATCAGTCCTGACGGGAGCTTCTGGTGGATCTGCCTCCTGCTCCTCAAAGAGGGACACTGGACAATTAAAATCTCATTGTCTTAGTGGACTCTTCCAGAGGACACAAACTCATAATGCTTTGTTTGAGGTGAGGAATCAGTATGTTCACTGTTCTGCAGTGAGGCTGAAGAAGCGTGCACCCCCTGAACCCCTTTTCCCAAATTCAGACCTGAAGCACTTGTTTGAAGGACCCAAACCTGCTCTTATCCTGGGGTTTGCTGGGATGATCCCCTTTGTCTCCTCAATTCTGATCATATCTGGAACTGAGACTTACTACCCGCAGCTGCATTACGCCCAGGTAGCCTATGCTGCCTCCATGATTTCCTTCCTGGGTGGAGCTCGGTGGGGATTTGCACTTCCTGAAAGCAGCCCAGCCAAGCCTGACTGGATAAACCTGTCTAATAGTGTGGTTCCTTGCCTGTTAGGCTGTATAACCATGTTGATGACTGACAACATTGCTGTTGCAGCCACCATGGCCGTCTTGGGATTTGGAATTGCACTGCATTATGATGTGTCTCTGCTGCCGACTTACCCTAGCTGGTTTAAGGCCATACGCATCATCATGACCATTGTGGCATTCTGTTCTCTGGTGCTTCCTTTTCTGCTGCTTAAATTCTTTCCAGAAAAGAACCCATTGTTGAGAACTAAAGGGTTTTAGGATCTTGTCATCTTACTTGGATGATTTAAGAAGTTGTGTTTTGTGTAAACATGTCCTTCTCCTTCAGATATAAAACAAAAATAAAATAGCTGCATGTGTACTCATTTTAAGGAATATTAAAATAGTCTATAATTACATGTGCCTCCCACCTTTTGGGGGATCTTTGAAATGCAAATAAATTATGTTTACTCTTAATCTAAATGTTTTTTTTTCATATATATACTTGTATTTAAAGTTCTTATGTTAAAAATAAAATATGCATGCATATGTAAACATTTCTAATCAGAATAAGAAAGGCCTTTGTTATGGATTTTGTAAATACTGGCATGAGGAATGGACAGTTAAGGATTTTGATATTCTTTACAGATAACTGGATTTAGGATGGGAACAGACATTTACTGTTGGTTAGTGACGTTTAGTTTTATCCTTACAGCTGATCCAATCTAGCAACAACCAAGAGAAAATCAATAAAAATATACTGAACCTTTAACAACTTATACAGAGCACAACCAAAAAAACAATAAAAAATACCATCATTTTATCACCTAACTAAACTGCAATTACATATTACACTTATTATTATTATTATTAAACAAGTAACCATTTACTGAAACAGCTATTCAGTCTTTGCTCAGTAAATGAGCCGATCCATTATCAATTTGTCCATTTACACAGTTGTGATCAGACAGCTGAAGTCAGAAGTGACTTGAGAAAAGGTTATTGCATAATTTCTAAACGGGAGTACCGTAATCTCTTCTTAGAGACTCGGGTGGCCAACAAGATCACCTGACAAGCTAACAGCTAAACTTTCACATTACAGGAAGTTTAATGATCGTGAAAGTCTGTTGAGCTGCATAACTCATACATTAAACAGTAAAGACATCCAAATAAATTAAAATACACATTGTTTTGTAAAAGGTTTATTACTGTAAACACCAGCATCCATGCACCAACTTTTTGGAATTCAAGGCAAGAGAAATGGGAGGAAGCAGAGGCCACAGATATCTGAGAAAAACACGTAAGGCACATTTCATCTTTTACCACATGTGCAAAGACCTTCCACATGAACACTAGTGTGATATTACTTTCCTTTACTTCAGTATTGCACTTTTTTTTTTCCTCAAATTTCTGAGTGACACTACTCCCAGTTGACATCTTAAATAATCTTAAAGTGTCTGTAAAGTTATGGAATATTGTGACTTTTTAAATTTTTGGTTCAGTTGGCTTAAAAAAAAAAAAAAAACAGCAGGTGGTGGCTTTAACTTTCAACCAAGTAACAATTAGATGTTTTTTTGTTAAATAAACAACTTTATGACATTTCTGTTACATAAGATTTTGAATTTTCACTCAAACCAAAGATTACTCTTTATATAATTTGAAGCCTTTTTACAACAGACATGTTGGAGCATTTAAAGCTTTGGGTCTTTTATAAACAATCTGCACTCAAAATGTCCATTTGGAACCCGGATGCTTGCACTGCATGGTGTTAAACCATCTGCATTCATTCAAGTCCAAACTTTGGTGATCTCTGGGTGCAACAACTTTTTTTAAAAGGTGGAAAATGGAATGGGATTATTTGAATATTTATAAAAAAATAATAATAAACAAGTGGAAATGGATGGGTCTGCTGCCTACTTCTGGATACCCAAGGCGGATCGTGTGTACTCGTACACCACATAGCTGATGCTGACCGCTGGTATGACCTTCATGAAATTGGGCAGGATGCCACGGTAAAGTCCAAAGAAGCCTTCTTTGTCCAGGATCTTCTTTATCATGTGACCCATTGGCATCTGCTCCGATCCCTCGACAGAAGCTACAAAAAAAAAAATGTCATTACATGATGAAAGAAAACAGCTCTAAATATTCGACTAACATGTTTTACACTTGTTTAGATTTGGAGACATACATATAAACTAGATTCAACACATCTGTAGGTTTTCTGGCTCAAAAATCCAAACTGAGCTTATTCCTCAACTTGGTGAGCCAACTAGGTTTTTTTAATCTGAATATTCATGGAAACGGCACGAGTCGTGCAGTTTCACTCATGTTTCCTGTGCTGTGCCACCTCCTGGTAAAACCATGTGACCACAAGCTGAATGCTGATACTGTAATTATTTAAAAAATAGATAAGGTTCCATTTACCTTGGGCCTGCATGCGAGTACGGATCAGCGCCAACGGGTAGCTTGCCAACTGGCCACAGGTGCTGGAGATGGTACCACAGCCCAGCAGCACCAGAACACCTGGGTTTGCTGTGTCTTTGGCATATTTTGATAACCAGAGGTTCTTTAAACTCTGATTTAAAAAAATAATTGTTCAAAGCCCATTAGCATCGAAACATCTTATTTGGCCAAATGACCTAAAACCATTCAAATGTATCCAGATGAGCACAATTCATCACCACGTACCTCGTACACTGCCAGATCTATCCCCGCGTAGGGAATGATGCCCAGAATATTGGGAATGTAGCCCTTATAAAAAGCCTTTACCCCCTCCCGCTTCAGGATTTTCTTGGCACAGTCAAACATTCCTGAGTATTGTCCAGTTTTCCTCAACGTCAGACGTGTTTTCATCACCTGAAGAGACAAAAGATGACGATAAGACAAATCAGCACTTTGTAATAAACATTTTGCCACAGACAGCTGTTGAAGCTTAAACACCGCCATCTAAACGTCGTCTTGGTGATCGGTCACGCCATTTTCACACATTTTTTTTTTATTACTAAAAATCATACCGAGTGGTTTTTATCTAAATGAAAGATTCCACATCTCTTTCAAATTATTTCAAAGCTTGTCTGCAGCTCAGTGTGAAGCAACGGAGGATGAGCACCTCCAAGATGTAAAGGGTGGAAGGGTGGAGATGATTTGTTGCCTCAAGTGGCGTTTGCTGTGTCTTGTTCACATGTAGATGAAGAGTTGAGTTTAAAAAAAAGCACAGATTTCTGTTTCCTGGTTAATTTACTGTAAGTTTCTACGTTTGGACACAACCACAAGAAGATTATAAATAGAACGGATGTGAGCAGCCCATCCTTCGTCTCTGCTCACCTCCATGGGGTAGATGGCAGTTTGCGCTGAGGCTCCAGCCAGTGACCCTGCCATGAACCTCTCATGGGTCCGGATTTTCCCTGGTTCACTGGACAGCAGCTTCTTATACTGATGACACACAGCCACATAAATTCATGATAATGCAGCAACAAATTCAGAATCATTTAATGAAAAGCAAGACCGCAGCATAATTTCACAAATAAAAAAAAACGAACTCTATGCTAAAAACCTGTCCAGACGGGTGCAAAGTATTCACCTGTTCATAAGCCATGAATTTAATGGCTGTCTCAGGAGCAATCTTTAGGACGTTGACACCATTTCCTCTCCACAACGATGCCGCTCCTCCTTCCTTTAACATTTGCTTAAAACCACCCACCAGGCTGATTTTGTTGCTCTTAGAAGAATGAACCTGAAAATAAAAACATTTGTGCCAATTAGTCACAACTTTTACAGAAAAAATCCATTTCAGACAGCAAGTAAAATATTTCAAAATCTAAAATAATCAAAGTCCCACAGCTTTTAAGAGCACAGGTCCCACAAACAAAAAGTTCAAAGGAACGCTTTGAAACATTGATACAATTTATTTATAGAAAAACTGGAACAGAAAGGACGCCTAAATGTGAAACTGGAGATCTAAAGATGAACAAATGCTGCCCCACCTGCAAGAAGACCTTCATTCTGTCCAGAGGGGCAGTTCCTGTGCGCGACACAGCACCCGCCATGGCCCCCGCTGTCAGCTGCTTCCACCACACACCGGTCGTCTTCTCCTCCTCCGTGAACTCATCCGGGATGGCAAGACTGTCACCAATATCCAGAACCTAGCAACAAGAAGTTTAATGAATCATTTTTACATTTGCTGCAGGCAGTGGCGTCAAATTAACAAGATTATAGAGAAATCAGGTGATTATATTTATGTTAATAAACATACAAAAAGCTAAAACAAAGATTAGTTATAATTTGATTTTGCATCTTTAAAATCGAGATGAAAACATTCCTGTACCTTTTGTAACTTACAAGATGTTAAATGTCAATCAAAAACCAAAGCAGGCTGAAGCTTTTTCATTTCATCTTCGCCACCGTTCAAATGTGAATATAACCTATGATTTTTTTTTTTTTTTTTTTGTGGGGGTGTTTTGTTATTTTCAGCAAAGCTTCACCTTTAACCTAACGCCCAGCAGGACAGAAGACATCTCATCCAAACCTTACATAACTACAGGTCCATGACGTCACGATCGTTACATCACTGCACGCTGCTGATGATCTGGATCAAACTTACAAACTTTGTTTTTTGTACTTTAACACTGAATAGCTGAAGGACAAGTATATAAACCATCTTGTGAAATATATTAGATAACTCTAAACAACATCTTATTTTACGCTCAGAAAACTCAATAAAAAGCATCAAATGATGAGCTGGATGACTTTATCAGCCTTCACACAACAAAACACATTAAGTTTTGTTATAAATGTAAAAAAAATACAGTTGCAAACTAAACAAATAAAAATAATGCAACATATTTTCAAAACACTAGATTTGCTCATTAATAAAGTTCTTCCTCTGCATATTTTTAGACCCAACAACAGAACACTTCCAGGTCTTAACTCTCAGCAAGTTTCCCATTAGACAAAGTGAACAAAACCGTACCCAGCACGTTCTGTTAACCAGTTCCAATATTAGAACCTACCATATCAACCTCCACCTCATAGAAACCCCCATCCTCTTCAAGTTCAAGGAAAAACCAGTTTGCTTGTTGCTGCTGAGGCTGCAGCAGAGCCATGGCCATCCAAAGCTTCTAATCAAGCTGCAGAGCAGTCCCGCTCTGATATCCCTCCTAATCTGACAAGAACCTGTCACAAGATTCTAACAGAGAGTCCGAACCAACACAAAGGCTCTGCAGCTTGAACACTGGAGATGATGGAAAGTTCTACCTGCCATAGCAGTCACCAGCAGCTGCTATAATCTCACAGACTCGGCTCTGTGCCGCTTACCCTGAACTTGCATCCTTCCATCTCATCCCTTCCAAATCCCAGAGACGAGCTAATCAGCACAGAGGTCAGACTGAAATTAGCTCGTCTCTGCTGAGTTTAGAAAGCACAAGTTAATTTATCCACCGAGGCTGAGCCGGGAAACAGAGTTAGCAACGTCAAAGATTAGCCATTCACTGAGAAATGCTTTGTTAGCATCCAGCTTTAGCACCTTTCCTATTTAAAAAAGAAATGTAGGATGTCCAAGCTAATGGTCATATTTATGGCTAAATGTCTAAAACTGGACATGAAAGATTTTATTGCTGTTGGTAAAACAAATTAATCCAGATTTTCTTACACATTTACAGTTAAATCTAAAAATAAACTGGTCTCCTTCACTTCTTTCTGCATTTCCCTCAGATTCTGAACTGGTTGACACAGACGAGATGATTTGCGGACAAAAGTCTCTCGCATCAGCCTGTAGCCATCATTTCTACTTTAACTTTATTTTACATTAATTACTATGGAGGGGACAGTTCATAAGACATGCTCCCTCCTTCCTTACCGTGGAGTGTTTCCAGTAGCGAATGATCTCCTGCAGGCTGGTGGCCGGGTTAAACAGGAAGTGCTCCCTCCATTCGTTCCAGTCCACAGTCATGGTCCCATTCATGTCAATACTACAGCACAGAAAGACACATTTTAATTTAAAATCTAAACTTTTAATAAAGATGCAAGAAAGCTGGACAACTTGGGGTTCAATGAGGCGATAACTTTCCTTAAAGTGACTTTTAGAATTTCTGATTGTTTTCAAAAGTCATGGAAGTAATTTCAACAAAGATGTGTGTATTTTTCAGCGAACTCAACAAGATGATTTTACTACAAAGATCACGTTCTGCATGGACTGTGTCGTGTGGTGAGCACTCAGACTCCCGTGTGAGCTGAGCCGTAAGCTGGATGTGATTTCTGAGAATCGCAGGCCACTTGGCTCCTGAAACTCGCTGGCGGGAAGAAATCAACCTTGGAGACGCTACAAGCTCGGCCCGGCGGTGCGGACCACAGAATTTGGATGTTTGGAGTCGCCATAGAGACGTACCAGTAGAACTATAGGGCAGAGTCGGCCTGACACAAAATAACTCGTTATCTGAATCTGGCTCCCCCATGTTGGCCTTGCATTGACCAACTATCTCAAACTCTCCTGGATGTTATGTGAACAAGAAGCTCTGCTCCCCACTCCCCACCTGCTCCCTTCCCAAAGACATCTGTGGACCTGTATCAGAGCTGAGCCGGCTGATAGACGCTGCACAACCTTATCAGGACTATGGAACTATCGGGCAGTGTCCACGGACAAACTCACCGCCTTCGTCTGCCTTCCTCATGCATATATTTATTATGATGTCATCAGTATGTTGCTGTTTCTGTAATCAGTTTTTTTTTCTTTAACTTTCACGCTATGTCCCGTGTAGGACACAGTGTGAGATATGATTTATTTTTATACCTCCCCTTCCCTCGTGTTTCTCTTTTCCTTATCTAAACAAAAATGGCTGCGCCTCCCACGAGGCCGCGGCCTCAGACACCTCCGTCCCCCCATGTCTATTTATGTTTCTCTCGGATGGGCTGTACTGAAATGTAATTTCGTTGTGCTTCGGTGCAATGACAATAAATCTGACTCTGACTCTCTGAATTCAAAAGAATTATGCTGAAATGGATTATGCATGATGTTTTTTTGACATTGAACCCTCTTAAACAAAATACTTGATACGGGAGCGCAACATTTATTCTGTATTTAACATTTATAACATGCCATTTATGAAGTGGCATAAATACACAACAATACCTGCATTTTTTAATTGCGTATCGATATATCTGGAAAACTACCGGAGTAAACCTGGAGAAAAAATAAACTATGGAATTAAATGCAACAATGCAGCCTTGAAATGCAAAAAGTTTTAACTCCGTTTCTGTGACCACTAAGAAACATTTCAAGTTTCAATATAAAATATTACTCTCTTCAAAAACCAAAGCGAGAGCAGCTTCAATAACAGCAAATATTTAACGGTTGACTAAATTTCCTTGAAACAAACGAGACCAAACACAAATCTGGAACAGGACTGATTTTGTTTTGCTAAATATTGTTTAGTTTCTGGACAAAAAAAAAAAAATCGATTTCATATCTCCAAGTCAGAGTGCTGTAGTTGAAGCAAACTAACAAGTTTTACGACCTAAAACTAGAATTATACAAACAGATTTTTCTTTATAATAAATAATATCCATTGTTCCTTTTTTTACTTCCTTCCTGTGTCAGCTGAGCCGGCTGTCACTCATCAATCATCCTGTGGTTTTCTGACAGAGTCTTTCTGTGACTCACGGCCATTCCATCAGGCTTTACTGCTTTTTATCTACAGATCCCTCGGGTCGTCTTTTGCATGTTTGTCTAAATGCAGCACAGACAGTTGAGCTCGCTGCAGATAAAACATTTGCAATTTAAACTGCATCGGAAAATAAACTGTCTAAACCGAGATCTGTCCAGAAAGTTGAACAAAACACAACAAATTACTGACGCACACCAGCTGATACAGTCAGTCTTCACACACAATGTTTTACTGTGCAAGCTGGATTTAACAATAAAATGTGTTTTGCATGTGGTAAGCAAAAAGTACGGTCATAATTAATTTATTTTATAATTTAGCCTTCGAGCTATAAGGTGCACCGGATTATAAGGCGCAATAAGCGAAACAAAACAGTCAGATAAGTCAAACTTTATTCAACTCATTCACAATAACCACATAAAATCAGTTTGAGGTCAGTGAGCACAACCAGAATTAATACATATAATAAGGCTCACTGTTGATTAAATTAAAGGATTTTAAGTGCACCTTATAGTCCGAAAAATATGGTATTCTTCAAAACCTACAGTCAAAATAAAACATTGTTTATTGAAACTTTACGTCCTTCATTTCAAGGACAACCTCAGTGTAGAAACACTTCATTCCACACAACGCGCCTGCTAAACTCCCCGTAACGTGCCCCTCATCATCACCGTTATTATTATTTTACACGTAAATGAGCGTAATACAGTTTGGTTTCATTTCACGGTCATTACAGATTAAATGGTTTGTTTTCAGTCACTGATGCTTTAAAAATAATCCACTCTTCATGTTCTTTAATAATCAGGACCTAACTGAGCTGCATTTGGATTATAAATAAACACTTCTTCTTTTTTTTTTTAAGTCGTATGTGTCACCAGTTCTTTATCATGTGACCCCCGCCCCCGTCAGTTATCAGCCCCTCGCACGAGTCTCCACCTTTAGCTTCGGCTGCTTACAGCTGCGCTTCTTAAACTTTCACTTTGAGTTTATGACGCGCCTAGTTTGTTCTTTAAATCCACAAGCGTTTGCAGCAGAGCTACTTCATCAGTGAAGATATTTCCCTCATTTCGGCTGCAGAACTACAAGCTGAAATACCTTTGAAGGATTTTATTTGCGTCCGCCTGGCTGATGTCCATCCCCAGATCAGCGAGCGACTGCTTTATCTCCATGTAGTCTATGCAACCTGGTCAAATAAATGCAAAGTAGAGCTGAAGCAGATAATACGAACAACTAATGAGAATACAGTTCATGATGTTGAACAGTACCATCATCGTTTTTGTCCAAGCTCTTGAACGTTAGAAGTAACTTCTTCTCGTGGTCCTTCAGGTACTTGGAGAACTCGTTGAAGTTGAGCCCATCGTCTTTGTTCTGGTCTCCGGAGGAAATGATTTTCTGAGGAAAAAACACAACATCTTGTGAGTCAGGCTTCTTGAAGCTGCCGCCTCTGACGTGTCTGCATCTGGGTGTCTGACCTCCTGAAGAGGTGAAGGGAGAGGTTTGAGATCTGCTGTAAGTCGAGGTGACTCGATCATCTCTTCTTCAAGCAGCAGCTGCTTGGCTCTGCCACTAGAGGGCAGAGTAACACAAACATCTGCTTCTTTACTGAGCCTGACCTCTGCTCCCCCATGATCACAACAGATTTCATGTTTCTTTTAATTTCAATGATCTGCTTTGCTTCAATTTAACAATTTTTTCTCATTGCATACTTTCCAAACTTAATGGAAATGTGCAAATCTTAGTTTGTTGTGGAGTCCAAAATGAAAAATCATTTATGATCTTGCTTGTCAAAATAAATAAATACCTAAAGGGACTGCAACATGTGATTAATGCTTTAATAGATTAGGTATGACCCAGTCAGGGCACAGATTTATTGCTTATCAGATCAGTGCAAGCAAAACTGTCTGAGAGCAACTTTACACAAAGCCTCTCCTCACATTTTCTCCTGACTCACAACTTTGACAGATCATCAACATTATCTGAGCAGTAAAGGTGGAACCTTCCTCTTAGAGCCACGACCCACACAAGTTCACAACTTGAACTTTGAAGAGTTTTTGTCGTCTGTGAACTCTTTTAGGTTCCACTTTGTGCCTTTTTTTCCACAACCTGTTGTTCAGCAGAGAAACCAGATTACTCCAGTTACTGACATAAATGTGTAGTGGGATTTTTAAAGGACCAAGGAAACAAAAAGGATATAAAACCAAAATGAAAGTTCTAAATACGACATATGACTTAAATATGATCATAAAGCTTGTTCCGTCTCTATTTACTCTTTCCTTTTGTTTATTTTGCAGTTTTCTTTATTTAAAGTGTGAGTTTAAACATTGCTGGCTAAACTTGGAACAAACTGTACAGTAAAACTAAAAGGCTTCGTCAGATCTGTTGGATTCTGATCAGACTAGCAGGAGCAGTTTGACAGTACCCGCCCTGCTCGGGGCATCTCTAAATTAAAATGTTCAAAAATAGAAGCGATGGTGAAGCAGCTGCAGTTTCCAGTAAAGTCTCAACATTGTAGAAACTCACTAATAATTCTGGAGTGCATGGAAAAAGCTGAAATCTGGAAATCCCAGGTGATGTAACATTTTTTTTTAAGTTACAAGTTTTGATTTAACTGGTTTAACTGGTTTTAAAGTCAAGTGAGTAAAGTACATTAAATGTTCTCCCTTGCATTTACACTTCTGCACAAATTCTGTTGAATAAAGTGATGAGGATTGGGCAATACTCATTGTGCAGAACAGGTTTTACAAAGATTTATGAACTGGGAGTTGTTTCCTCTAAAGCTTTTTATTAAAACGCTTTACATGTGGAGAAACAGCAGGCTGTTCATTTGAGTCCAAAATGAAGTCCTTTAAACAAACTATTTGTTCTCTACCTGAGCTGCTCCCTGCCCGGTTTGGATGCCCATCGCAGCCAGGCCTGCCCTCAGCTCGGAAACATCCACTATTCCATCCTTGTTGGTGTCCAGCTTGGCGAACAGTTGCTCGTACGTCTCCGTGGATCCATCTCCTGCGCACCGACAGTCCGTGAAAAACAGCTTCCTCACGGCAGGATACATGTTTGAAACAGGAAATCAAACCGCAGAGGCCTGCAGAGCTCCACACACAAAAGGAGCAGTTAGCTCCACTGCTCGGGAACTGAACTGCAGTTGTTGGCACCGCTGCTTTTACGCAGCAGGTTTCCGTGTGGCTGCAAGAAGACGCGGTCTGGAGAAGTCGCAGGAAATCCTCATGAGTCACTGGAGTATGCGTGAGTTAGGACAGTGGACGATGAAACTGTAATAATAAATAAAAGCTTATTTCGGATGGTGTGGGCTGGCAGAGAGAAGGGTGGAGACGTCAGCTCAGTTCGCATAAGGAAGACCTCCTTCTTTTACAGCGCGCACACTCATTACACGGACACACCCATCCGTGAAGCAACACTTACTGCAGTTTTTAAAGATCTTATTGCTTCACTTGTTTTACACATGTACCTTTTTCATGTCCTGACCTAAACTTTTATTTGTCCAGCATATCTCAACTTTATGGATAGTGTGGTTTCGCTTCTCCCACTTGCATATTGTCGTGTGCGTAATATGATTCCGCCTTTATGGTTCAAAGTCAATGCGACTAACAATCAGTTTTAGATCAGTGAGTAATAACCAAAGGAATGGGGGGAGTGCCCCCTCAACCACCCCCTGCATAATTAACCCCCCCGCAATGAAAAAAACAGATGAATGTCACTTTTATATCTGATCTTTCAGATCTAACAGTGGATATAATATTTTGAATTTCCAGAATAAAACGGAATTTAAAAAAATATATATGAAGGATAATTAACATAAAAGCTGCTATACATGCTTAATTTGAGTGGTTTGAATATAGTGGATATAAATTACTCTAAAATCTGTCTAACATTTGTTGGAGTTTGGTGGAATGATTGATTGTCAGGTCTCAGGTCTCTCTTGTAAATGAGTCCTCGAGGCTCAATGGGATGAATCTGTCTAAATAAAGGTTGTAGCTAAACAAATGCGTTGCAGTGGCTAATTCTAACCACAAGGGGGCGATAAATGTCACATCGCAAGACTGGTTTGCTCTCTTGTAATCTGTTCAATCTGTGCTGCTGTATTTTGACCGGCCGTCAGGGGGCGACGGAGAGAAGAAGGCGGGTTTTATTTGAAGCTTGACTTTAGTTAGAAGTCGTCACAATTTCATATCCGGTAAATCAGAAAGTACTTCAAAGTAAAATGGATTTTAATTTTTAACACAAAAATTATATTATTAATTAAAGATATTCTAATTATTTTTTATATTATTAATAATATATATATTCTAAAGCAATGTACTACTGGATATCTCGAATTTTCCCACTGGGATTAATAACCGCTATTGGACGTTAGCTTTTATTTTGAAACCATTAACAGGAAATAGCTCTTGTTTTGCTTCAGTGACTTTTAAACGTCTGTTGTTATAGGTAGCCTCACTATCCTCCCTCATCACTTACAAAACCAGAAACACAATGGTCCTGTAATGTCAGAGACATCTGAGATCAGAGCATCGCCTTGACGGAACGGAAACGGTGTATGGACCTAATGATGATGAAAAAGAAGAAATTTAAGTTCAGGGTGGATTTTGATCTGGACGAGCTGTCGTCTGTTCCCTTCGTGAACGGTGTCCTCTTCTGTAAAGTGAGGCTGCTGGACGGCGGCTTCTCCGAGGAGTCTTCGAGGTAAAAAAAAATACTGAAATGAAGCCTTACGACCCGGACTTTTGATCTTCATTCCGCTGGGTTAAATTAGTGTTGTGGTTTTAACCTGTTTAAAATGCTAACAGCTAACTAGCTGAAATGCTACACGACCAATGTTAAAAATGGCTCATTGTTTTGTTTTGGTCAGACCTGTCATTGCTCTTTACAAGTTTGCAGCTCTGTCTAACCTTAGACAAAAAACAAAAACCAGTTCAAATAGCTCAATAACATTTAGTTTCTCAAAATAATCACAATGCTACAAGTTGGCTGCTAAGCCAACATCTGGTTGTATTTTTTAGAAGTCATTGGAACCAACGCACCTTTGTTCTTATTGTATCCCTGGAAGGTTTGGGGCCATAATTTATGTATTTTATACATCCGAGCCTTATTTATGTACATAATGTTTAATTTGTTGATTAAACATTAATGTTCGTTTTATGTTCAAATGCAAATCCAGTGTAATGGAGTATTATGAACATGACAGCAGTTTGCACAGAAAATAAATATTGGGAGAAATACTTATTGTTAAACTGGTCATTGACCCTTTTGTTTCCAATCAGGAACAAAATAAAACTTGATTTTGTGCTGTCTAATATTGTTAATGTAAAAACATTTTAAATATCATGATGTAATTATGTGTGGAAAATTAGAGGCAAAAAAAAAAGCTTAAAAAAAAAAGACAATGAACGCCAAAGGAAGCATGGATTAAACAGGCAGCTTAAGCTTTCACTGCCTAAATCTGTCTTAAACTCGTTTATTCTTCTCTGATCCTTAACTAAATTACAAGCACATGATGGCTTCCTGTAATAAAAAAATAGAATTATAAACAGACTAATCCATATGGAATAAAATGAATTATGACCATGAAAGGTCAATATCTTCCTGCGGGATCAATAAAATTCTAACTTGTCTTTAAATGACTTCTCCTGAAATGTCAGTCGGGCGCGGCAGATACAAAATGATTAGCAAGCAGTGCAGAAGGAAACTGAAGCTGAACATCTTCAGGATAAAATGTAGTTAATTTTAATGTACAGTTATAGAGCTTGTTACAAGAAAGGGCTAGATGATGTTCCAGCAGTTGACTGTGTGAGGAAATGACCTAAAGCCTTTATTCTTTGTGACCCTGGAGTAACTGAGTCATGTTGCTGTTTTTGCACGACCAACGTCCATCCTTCTTTGCTGTAACCAGTTTTATTTTGTCACTTGATCGGTTTTAACACTGCAAAAGAAAAGCATTGTGATGAAATGATGCTCTAAAGATTATATTCCTGATTATATAACAAACCTTCTTTTTGCTCCAAAGAAAATAATTCAAATTAAAATAAGCAAATTAGGGCAAATCTGAACTGGTGGTTTTGTGTATAGCTATTTCTAATGTTGCGAGAGAAGTTTGCATCATTGCCTTTTTTCATGTAGCTTGCATCAACCCATTGTCTTCATCTCTATTTATTCTTAGAAGATAGGTTTTTACCTTTTTTTGTAAGTTTTGACATATTTGCACAAGATTTATGGAAAAATATATGGATTTTCATTTTTCTGCTGTAGGCTTTTAAAATGAAACATTTGGGTGCAGTTGTCTTTAAATGGGGGAGCAGCTGCATAGTTTAACAAGACATCTGAACCATGCAGTCGGACAAGAGGGGACGGCCTCAGCTTGTGCTTTAAACTCTACTTTCCTGCACTGACTAATAGGATTTTGCTGTATAGTGGAGTGCTGAGAGCCATAGTGCATAAAAAGACAGAATTCCCAAAGCATGCAGTGTCCAGCTGGATGGGAGTTCCCTCTCCAAATCTGGGAGTTCACTCTTGGAAATGTAACAACCTCCAGATGAAGTCCGCATTGGTAAAACATTAGTCACACATCTGCTGCCTTTTATTTGTTGTGAGGCAACGATGCAGTGCAAAACAAAAGCCTGAATGTTCAGATAGCTTTAGCCTTCTTAACAAGGATCTACACACCCTTGTATGCCTTCATAACACTTTCCTTTCTTTTCTCTATGCTTTCTTTAGTTTGCCAGTCACATTTTCAAATCTCAGGCTTTCCAGTTTTGTACTTATGGCATGTTTTTTGTTGTATTTGTGCCATACTCAAGCAGAAAATCTTGAGCACAAGTGCAGTTTTTGTATAAAAGCAGCAGAATATATAGTCTGTAGGCTATATAAACAGACTTAAGTTGGTAAGGCGAGTGGGAGAATAGAGGGGCGCCAGTAAACGGGAGGCCATCTGTAGCATCGTAATTCTGCCCACGCACTGTCTTTCTCTGTCACTTTGTCGCCTCATCTTTGCCGAGAGCAGCCTGCAAGTTGCATGCAGCTTAACCTCAAGATGGAGGACGTGTGCATCTTTTAGTGGTCTCGTGCCAATGCACAGCACTTCTGCAGTTGTAAACCACAAGTTAATCAGCTGCATGAATCGTTTGACACATACAAGGCAGCACAGTGATCAGCTGTGTTATTATTAACCGCCCAGAAACTTTAAAAATGATCATGTAAACTTGTATCTGCAACTTCAATCATTTGGAATTTTTAATCATTCAGCTTTTTGTCTCCCTTTGTGGATGGTGACGTTGAAGTAAATAAAATAAAATAAAATAAAGGCCTCGAGCTATTAAAAAAAAAAAAAAAATCCAGGAAACAAAAACCAAAAGAACAAAACAGGAAATCCATACTTTGTTCACAAACATCTGTCTTTAATCTGTTTTGTTGCTGTCATATTTCATGCTAATTCTTACTTAAAAAGCCATGATACTGGTAATCAGTATAACAGTTTTATTTTGCGTTTAAGTACAGGTAATATAAAATCTAAATTGATAACTTGTCTTATTAATATTGACATTAATCTCACTTTTTATGTTTTCATAGAATAGCAGGAGCCATTTGACTAAAGAGTTTTGCATGTTTGAATGAAACATTTGTATTTTATTTGAGTAACAGTTTTTTGTTCCTTCTAAAGAATATGACACCTCTTTATTTTTTGTGTATTATGCCAAACATTTAATTATCAGAAGTTTTGATATGAGTTGGAGTGAAAGGACGTTATTAAATTGATTATGCTTCGTAAGGAATGAAATACTGCACTGATCTCAGCGAGCGGTCGCTGATTTGACCTTTAATTTGGCCTTTAAGAATTCTGCATGCAACCCAAGCATAAAAACAAACAATATCCAGCCTTATTATGACCTTTAAGGGTCTAATTCGTGGTGACACTCTGTTGCAGGGAGCCAGTGCAGGCCAACTGTGTTCGATGGAGGAAGCGGTTCTCCTTCCCTTGCAAAATGAGCGCCAATGCAGGAACTGGTGTTCTGGACCCGTGTGTGTGTCGTGTGTCTGTCAGAAAGGTACACTGGGTAGCTGGCAGTAGAGAACTTTTGACAGAAATAAATGTGATTTGACTCTTAATAACAGGTACATTTTAGTCATGAGTTCCACGCGGTTCACTGAAACCTGACAGTTCCACGTGAAACTCTTAAGTAACATTTAAATAAAGAAGTTCAGTGGTGATACTTATTTTAAAGTCTTAAATGTGACTGTTAATCATCTGATAAGACATTTTTGCAATAAATTATATTTATTATTATTATTTGCTTTGATAATTGGTTTACTCGTAAAAAAAAACTATTAAGTCTTATTTATAAAAAAGTAGTTTTACTGCATTTTTGTGCTATTTTACTTATTTAAATATTATCTGAAGAACCTTTAAGCAACAATGTTTTTCCTCTTTTTTTAGGAGCTTAAAGGTGGAAAGGCATATGCAAAGGTAATCTTGACGTGTTATGATCCCTCTGACCATGGCATCCAGAGATACAATTACTCAGGAGAAATAAAAAGCTCCACCCTGTGACATTCTGTCTCTTTTAGCTTGGCTTTGCAGATCTGAATTTAGCAGAGTTTGCCGGCTCAGGAAATACAACTCGGAGGTGTCTGCTGGAAGGCTATGATACCAAAAATACGCGACAAGATAACTCCATTCTCAAGGTAACATTCAAACGCTCTACCTCACTGAGAGAATTGTTTAGAGTTGTGCAAGTCATTTTTTTTGTTTTGCCCTCATAAAAACAATAACCAGGTATTGAGGACGTGGTTCACTGCATTTAGACATAACCCCTTTCAATAAAAAGGCAGTGTTGCTTGTTGAATGAGAGAAAAGAAAATGTTGATTTGGTATTTTCACATCATGAGCTGCTGTGTTAACCAAACACCTTAACAAGGAGAAGTTTGATTACCCAGGGTGTGCATGTTTACTTAGGTCAAAATAAATTTACTGGAGTTTTTATTTTTTATTATCATAAGTAAAACCATATAACGCTTTAAAATTTTACAGGTCATTATCAGTACACAGTTGATGTCGGGGGATCCTTGTTTTAAAACGTAAGTTTAAGAAACGTTGCTACCTTTTCTTTTTTCTTTTTTTAAACACTCAAAAGCTGTTATTTAATCATTTAAATAACTCATGTGATCAATTAAGTGAGGTGATTGTAATAGCTGCTCCACAGGTGTATAATTCATTCAGTCTCTTAGAAAACAGTGAGTTAATTTAAAAAAATGTCACATTTCTACTTTTTTTCACCTTTGATGGAGTTGACATTAATATAATTGTCACTCATGACAACATACTGGTCTCTTTTAATAATATTTTTAAGCCTTTAGCAGCGCGGCTCTGTCTCTGCTTTGCTTACTTTCCTGCTGAAAGAACCATTGTCACAGATTAGAGGAGATAAAGCCACATTGTCTTTCTTCTGGTATCAGACCTCCCTCCACAGCCACAGTGATTGGCATCCCAGGTGATGGAGAGAACCTGCTGGAGGAGAGGAAAGGAGGAGATTCACAGAAAGGCTACTGTGGTGAGTTTAATCATGTCCCATTACACCCCTCACCTTTTCTTCATCAACCTTGTGGATATCTGCAGTCGTCTTACAGATTATAGTCTCATTGTGCCACCACATGCAAAGCCATTTCAGTTTTATTTGTTTTTGAGGTTTAGTTCCAGATTTACATGCATATACCCCTTTTCCCTTCTTTTTTGCATTCACAATATACAAAACCTGAATGCTTTCACCTGTTTGTTAAAGCAGTGGGGTTCAGTCATTTGGACTCGGGTCACTTCAGTACATACAGAAATTACACAAGACTTTAATTTAGCACATGATCTGCTTTTCATGCAACATACACAGTTGTACCATTAAATAAGTAAATAACTGTGCTGTGCATGCTGATAATCCAAGGATTTCCCCACACTCATTCACTGCAGCACCAAAGTGTTTTATCACAGCAGCTGAGCCAAAAGGTTCTGGATAACAAACCATCTGGCCAGTCCGGCTGCTCTGTAGCATGCTCTTTTAGAAAGCCTAAAATGTTAGAATATTTTAATATTTTGTATAAAAAAACTAAAAGCACAAACTATAAGTACTGGTATTTTGATAAATGCAGAGTTTAAATTCAAACCAGTGGTGGTGTGAGTAAGTGAACATTAATATTAATATTGTTCTGTATTTTTAATTTGATCACCATTAAAGATCTCTGTGTCAGCTGGTCTTTTCCCATTATTCACTACTTACCAGTACACCTAGACTTAGCTTCTCCCACTAATACAATCAATACTTTCTGTTGCTGTACATTGTTTTTGGTCGTTTTGTTTCATTAAATTAATGTCTACACATCAAGAAACGTATGAGTGCTATAGTGTTCTAGCTAACAAAATATGCACGGGGGGTTTGTTTTTTCCCCTCGAAACGTTTGTTTCTTTACATTTTTGGGTCATTTCTCTGCAGTATCCTGCACTCATTTAAAGTAACTTTCTTATCCACTTTTGCCATTTACATGAAATGTCTCCGTTGTCTCACCGCTGTCTGTTTTATGTGAATTTGTCGTGCAGAAGAGGTGGTTAATTTTCTCTGCATCATCTTTTCTCTCTTGCTCAGTGTGTTGAAGTGTGAACACATTTCAGTGTTGAATGCTTGAGCGTAGAAGAGCTAATTTATAATTTAAATTCTCTTTTTAGATCAACTACAATCTGTTCTGACCTGTGGGCTTTCACATGGTTAAATATAGAACTGTGGTCTGTCTAACTGGGGGATTGTGTGTTTGCATGCATATGAAATGTTGTTTTTTTTTTTTCTGTTTTCTTCTAAAAGCACCATCATTCTTCATTAGGTGTGATTTACACGCTGGTTCATTTAGCTGTAAAAACAGTAAACCTGGTAGTTTTATAATTTTCAAAATGGTGAGTTCTGTGCAACAGCTTCAGCATTTTTTATGTTTATTTGTAATTTCAAGCTCAGCTTAGGAGAGAGAGATATGATATAAAGTTGCGTATGTGTTTTCTGGCCGTGCTAATTTTCCTTTTGTGCATCCATGTGTTGACACTAAAGTAGCCTCATCTGTTTTCTTCAAGTTCCTTTGTGAATTTTGAAAGGCTGGATGTGTAGACAATGGTTCCTCTCGACTGTTGGAATAAGCTGTGTCAGTAGTTATCCAGTTATTAATTTTTCCAATAGGTTTCTATTGCCTCATTTGAGTTGATACAGCTTCCTCAAAGCTGCCAACTAAAGTCATCTGCTTTTGAACTGAGAGAGGTTGAATAGACAAATGAGTGAAGTGGAAGCCATAGACCTATGGAACACCAAAATGCTCAAAATTAAATAAATAAATAAAACATTATGAAATAAGAAAAATTGTCATTTTTATTCTTTTATTTCATAATTGTGTTTTTCATGGCTTATTTACTGACGTTGATTGACGGCTGAAGTCGTTCTGCTGAAAAGTGCATTATGAAATAAATAAGCTTTCATGGAAAAACAATTATGAAATAAAATAATAAAAATGATTTTTTTTTCATAATAATGAGCTTAGATACTTGTTTCATAATGGTTTATTTATTTATTTAATTTTGAGCATGTTCCATACAAATCAGCAGCCAGTTACGTTTCAGACTGAACTGAATATAGCTCAGTATTCAAACTCTGGACATTACACGTTTTGTTTTGCGTCTGTGAAATTAGTTTTTATGTTTGTGCATTTTTCCACTTCATCCAGTATTTCCAGTTGAGTGCCTTTAAGATGTTCGTCATCCCTTGTCCCTCTGTCCTTTCTGATCCAGGAGAGACTCGAGAAGGAAAATGTCCCGTTGTGTCAGATGATCTTGGGGGTTGCGGCCACTCCCGAACATCTAGCTACGCCAGCCAACAGTCCAAACTCTCAGGTAGAAATAGCTCACATTGTAAAAGTTCTAATCATTTTACTTATCTGCTGGAGTGTGGTAATGCAGAGATGGAAATAACACGCAGAAAACAAGTTAGTAGTGAGCTGTAGCATTATATAATTAAAAGCATTAGATTCCAACTTCAAGTAAACAATGTTTTCTGCACTCATAAATGCCAAAAAAAAAAAAAAAAAAAATGTATACAGTTATATTAAGAATAAAAATAAAAATCACTGAGGAGAATGAAAGTCACCAGTAATACTCCAGCACTGCAGTTCGAGTTTCAATTGCAGCTAGATCAGATGACGCTAATAAATGATAAGAGGAAGTGGAGCCACACAGAGAGCTCTAATGGCTCGCTCATGAAGAGCTAACAATGTTTTTCCTCCTACATGCAACTCTTTATAAGATTTATTCAAAACCTCACATTAGTTTGAGGGAAGTCGTCTTTTTTAGCAACACTGAGCCACAGTCCTTGGATATCTTTTGCCTTAACAAGCTTCCTGCAGACATGAACAAAACATGAGTTCGTAGCTGTTGTTGCAGAGTTTCACATCACAAGTTGCAGATCTACAGGGCTGAAAACCTAAATCTATTTTAGCAAGAAAAAAAATCTTTCACGTGCTACTTTCTGCTTCTTTGCTACCTTTTTACTTCTTTGCACTTTTAAACTAAACCCTGGTGTGGTATTTCAAGGTTTACAATAAAACTTACTGACAAACACGTTTGGTAGAGCTGCAATAAGTAGGTAAGATTGTAAATTGATTACTGTCACATCAATGCGCCTCTCTTTCAGGCTACAGCACAGGTCACTCCCGCTCATCCAGCATGTCAGAGTTCAGCCATCGGAGGAATCACTCGGTGGGCAGCGCCTCGACGGGCATCGGAAGTATTCCGGAGCCCAGCGAGGAACGAGAGTCCAGACCCCATCCCGCTCTGCCTGAGCACCCAGCTCCAACAACCACCACTAGCAACCCATCATGCACACCAGTGCAGAGCGCCTCATCCTGCGAACGACTGAACAGGTGAATCTTTGAGTAGCTTAAGTAAAGAAGCACGTGGAGCTAATAAAATGATTGGTTAAAGTAATTATCATAATAATTGTTTAGCTCAGTATTTTTCAAAGTGGGGGCCGCCAGGGGGGCCTCAGAAAGCTGGAGAGAAGAAGATTAAAAAAAACAAAAATTATTTATTTGTTTAATTAAAATTTTACTTTTTTTAAAATTACTGTAATAAAATTGAATCTATTTTTCAATAATTATGTTAAAATATATTTTATAATAATATATTGAAATAGTTTCACCATGCTCATCTTTCTGATTGGCTGCCAGTCAAATGTATCAAGCTGCTTTACTCTTCAAGCTAGCATAGCAAGGACACAATTAAGACATTTCTAAAAAGACCGAAGGAACTGACCAGCAGCCCTGCTGTGGTTGAAACTGCTGAAAAAAACAAACAAAATAAAAATCATGACCAGCTAGAATTTGAAGGTATGAGGAAGCATACATTAAGTATGGCTTTACAGTCACACAGAAAAATGGCCATAATTGCCCGAAATGTGTCTGGAGACCGTCGCAAACGTTAGTTAATAACATTTTAATGATCAGCAGCTGTAATAATTAATTGATTACAGTGAATAAAAGTTCAAACATTCTAAAAGTTGATGTTTCTTTACATGTTTTGTAGCATTGTTTGTGGGTTTGCGTGGGGGGCCTCGGCCAGAAGCTAATGCTGTTTGGGGGGCCATGGCATGGAAAAGTTTGGAAACCTCTGGTTTAGCTTATTGAGAAAAGAGATTAGTATAAAACATCAGTTGAAGCAGGCAATCTTCTGCAGAGGAGCTGGATGTTATTTTGATAAAAAGTCAATTTCCTGTGTGATGTTTCAGGAAGCAGCATTAAATTCTGAGGCAAAGCACCGGAAGCATATTGTGGTTTTATTTTGTGGCATCACTAAATGCTTTTTAAGGGACACAAAACAAACGGCTAAAACTGACTACACCTTCAACCTTTATTTATACAGGTTAGTGTCACTGAGTCACAAGGACTCTTTTTCAAGAGAGACCTGTTTTAGACAAATCACAGATAACATGGTTTTAGTGAATATGTTTGGCTGGGAAGGTGAAGAGCTCTTGTGGGTTTAAGCACAGTTAATTATTTGCTTTGTAACCTGTTTTGTTGTACAGCTTTTTGGTTACAGTTATCTGTAAGCATATTTTAATTCATTTGTGCAAACATATTTTATTAACTCAATATTTGATGAAAGTTGAACCGAGAGAATTGGCGTGTCTTTTTATTTATGCACATTTAAATATCACTGCAGTGACATGGAGATTTAACAAAAACTGGACATGACAGGAAGTACTGCATCAGCCAAGACAGTCAGGTTTCTATCTGACTTTGTCTCTCCAAACATTTATTTCTAAGGATGAGCAAAGAAATGCATTTTATTTTGTTAGTTATTTTTGTAGGGGTGTTACAAAGAATCTTGTTTAGCCATACTTGTCAAGAAGCAGTGCAGTTTGTGTTTATATGATAAGCATAACATACAGATTAATCAAGAATTCCTTTAGATCATGCCTGGTACGTGACCAGAGTAACTGTTTTGTGCCTTCTTCCTCAAAGTTTCCGGCCTCGACTTCTGTTTATTGCAGTGTGGCTTACACTGCATCTTGCTGACTGCACTCATTCATACTTACTCAAAGCCACTTATTACAGACAGGCCTGATTCATAGTTTCTACTAGACAACATTTTAAAAGTTTGCTTTGAGATCACATGGCTACTGGATGGAAACCTGCTATGGGTAGAGCCACATACGTATCCAGTGAAAATTAAATATTTAGCTTTGTTCTGGATCTTAACCAGAGCAAAGTGCAGCAGCAGAGCAGCAGGAACTGTAGTGCACTGCTGTTTGTGCATTCAAGCATTTCAACATTTGAAGGGAGTAAAATTAAAGAAGCAAAATTTGAAGTACAACTATGTGTTTTGTCTTGCATTTACTCTTACGTGATATGACTAGCGCTTAAGGCTTCCTGCTCAAAAGGTCATGTAGGCAAATACATTTCACATGAGCTGTTTCGCGGATACCGCCATGTTTATTTAGCGCCACCTCCCAAATACAGCGCCAGTGGTTTGTGGGACTGTGCGGGGCAACCGACATCAAAGTCAATGATGGACAGGTTATCACATTTAGAAAATTGGACTGTTGCACAGCTTAAAGAGTATTTGTTGGTTCGTGATGTGAGAAAGGACGTGCTTGCCAAGTGCTGTTATGCTGCTCGTGTTTCGGGATTGAAGTCTAAAATGACTAGCTGACTAGCCTACATAGAATTTTGAGACAGGCCTACCTATTATTCTATAAATGCTGAGTATAAAATGCCCTTCTTGGCTGCACATCATATTTGGTATGAATATTAATTGGTTAATTTGTTTGTTTTGTTATGATACTGGTAAATGGGGCAGCATGGTGGTGCAGCTGGTAGAGCTGCCACCTCTCAGCGAGCAGGTTCAAATTCCGTTCGGGGGCCTTTCTGAATGCCGTTTGCATGTTCTCTCCGTGCATGCGTGGGTTTTCTCCGGGTACTCCAGTTTCCTTCCACATACCAAACCCGTGCATGTTAGTCTGATTGTTGACCCCCGTGCCCGGAAAGGAAGAAGCAGGTAAAATAAAATGGATGCATGAATGGATAGTGATAAATCATTTTTTATTGTGGTCTGTAACCTCTGCATGATGTATGTTATTGTTAATAAATAAACTGTAAACAAATGTATAGATGTGTTCCAAGTTTTCTGCATCTCTTATTGAAATAGGAACATAATAAGCACCTTAATTCATACACTAGGGAGACTGTATGACTGTTGGTTGACTGTTTATATGCTTTCAGTTACAGGCTATAGAGTAAACAAGTGGTATTCTTATTGTCAAATTATACATAATATTAATTTATTGCATATATTCTCACTTGTTCTTGAATCTGCGATCATTGCTGCATACATGGCACAGCGATCTCCACGACCCATTTTCACACTCGTTCTAGTCACGGACCACAATGCTTTACGCTAAGCAAAGATGGCGGTATCGGCAAAATGGCTCTTGACAGCTGTTGTTTGTGTGGATCGTTTTTTTTTTATTTTTTTTTATGGCAATCATTATTCCAGATTATTTTTTAATGTTCTCTGCTCGTCTTCCCTCTGGCTCCATACATATAACGTGACAAACAAGTTGTTGTTTCTACAATGTAAAAGAAAAAACTAAACTGATTCCATCGTGAGTTCGTCCATTCCAGTGTCTCGTGCTGTCGAAAACTGAACAGCTTTCAGTGTGTACAAAGCTTGAGCTGCAGATCTGTTGATATTCCCAAAAACATGTTTGAAAAGGACGTTTTCTAAAAAATATTCTTTGCTACTTGAATGAAAGCATATACTGTAGCTTAGTGATCGAACAAAACCCTTTTAGTACAAGAAAAAAAAATAATAATAATAAGATGAAAGATGCAAGCAGCAATGTCAAGTTGTGCTGAAGCCACAATAATAATAATAATAATAACAGTTTCTTCTCCACAGACATCCCATCAAACAGGACTCCATGGAGTCTCAGCTGAAGAGGATGAATGACACGAGGGTGGATGCTGATGATGTGGTGGAAAAGATTTTACAGAGTCAAGACTTTACACCCAGCCTACTGGACTCCAGCACTGAAGGTGACAAACATCCGCTCAGAAATTAGTAACTTAGCGGGAAACTTTTAAAATTTGGTTTAACAATTCAAGTAAAAAGGCAGGCCTGTTCTCGAGTTCGTCTGCTGGATGCACAGCTAGTTTGCATCATTTAGCTGATACTATTGTGTTCTCCCATGAGTCATTGTGTGATCTTTGAAGAAGGTATTGTCCTCCTTTCCAAGCTCTCATTCAGCTCAGTCCTTAAAAAATAGCTACTGTCAATGCATGATTATTTTTAGATTGCCTAGCAACTGTCTGCTCGTCATGACAAGATTTATACAGCCGGCTGTGGGTGCCTTGTGTACTGACTGACTTTTACCACAACTGTGTCTGCTTCAGAGGAAGGCTTACGTCTATTTGTCGGGCCAGGAGGAAGTACAGCCCTTGGAAGCCATCATCTTCCCACCAGGTGAGCATCATCAACTGCTGCACTCCCACTCATCTCATTCATTATAAAAAAGGCTCATCAGCTAAAGTGACGTTTTGAAATTTTAAAGCAACCACATGTCCCACTGTCAGCATTCATTTTGACATTTAGCTGAAAGAAATATGAATTGCACCTGAATGGGGAAAAATTGGTTGTACCTCCTAATGTAAGCAGATAAAGAAAAATACAGTGAAAATTAAAATGTCATCTCTCGAAAGCCAGTTTTCTCATATTTCTATGCTGCTGCTAGAATCTTCAGAGGACAACACGATGAAATCTGCAAATCATTTTCATGGCATGACATGTTTTGCTGGCTGTTTACTTATGTTGCATTTTGAAAATTTAATCACAAATCTACACACTGGTGCAGTTAATGTCATTATACCTTATATATATATATAACTTTTATTTTATTAACTATAATTTTTATGTTCTGTTATCAAGGATTTTCATCATTAAATACAGAAATGAGTAGGGTTCGTCTCAGTTGTGTCTTATACATTTAAAAGTTTGAATAAAATCAATTGTAATCGACCTTTAAACACTTTGTTTCTATTTATTATTACACTTGTATAAGGTTGTAATATTTTTAATGTGGCTTGCTCTGGTTACTAATTATGCAAAGATTTTATTAAAACAGAACATTCTTTGCCTATTAAGGCTAACTTAAGTGTTCGCCTGCTGGACTGTCAAGTAGGGGCCAAATCGACTAGTCGATTCTAGGACGTCTCACGAGTTTTTAAATTTTACCTCGACTAGTCGCAATTAGTGATTGTGTCCTGCCACTGCCTCCATTTTTTATTTTTATTTTATTTAATCCACTAAATAAAATAAAAATTTAAACGGGGGCGCATCACCGCCAGTGGAGAATCCACCACCGTGCATTATCAGCAGTGTGCACCGCACACCTCCTCTGGTGGAGAATCCACCACCGTGCACCGCTGCCGGTGGAGAATCCACCACTGCCGCTGTGGTTTATTTTATTTAGTAGATGAAATAAAATAAAACTAACTTTTACATCTTGGGGTGTTGTTCACGAATGAGGGAAAAATGGAGCGAGAGATCGATAGGCGGGTAGGTGCAGCGTCTGCAGTGAAGCAGGCGCTGTACAGGTCTGTCGTGGTGAAGAGAGAGCTGAGTCAAAAAGCGAAGCTCTCAATTTACTGATCGATCTACGTTCCTACCCTCATCTATGGTCATGAGCTGTGGGTTGTGACCGAAAGCTGTGACTCCCCTCACCACCGGATGAAGAGCATCTCAACGTGACCTCAGCAGAAGTAAGGAGTACTTTCAGGAGGATTAATCCGCACAAGGCAACCGGCCCAGACAACATCCCCGGAAAAGTGTTGAAAGAACGTGCCAATCAGCTCTGCGAGGTGCTGGCAGACATCTTTAACACCTCACTTACACTGGAGACAGTTCCCACCCGCTTGAAGACTGCCACCATCATCCCAGTCCCAAAAAGCTCTACAGTGACTGGTCTGAATGACTATCGGCCAGTGGCCCTCACCCCGATAGTCGCTAAATGCTTCGAAAAACTGCTCATTACTCACATCAAAACAACCTTCAACATCAACGAGGACCCTCATCAGTACGCATACCACAAGAACCGATCAACAGAGGATGCCATCTCCTCTGTGGTCCACAATGCGCTCAACCACCTGGAGCAGAAAGACTCTTACATCCGTATGCTCTTTGTTGACTTCACATCCGCCTTCAACACCATGATCCCCCAAACCCTGACGGACAAATTATTCACACTAGAACTAAACCCCTCTATTTGCAACTGGGTACTAGACTTTTTAACAAACAGACCACAGTCAGTGAGGATCCACAACTTCTCCTCCACCATAACCTTCAGCACTGGCTCTCCTCAGGGATGTGTGTTGAGCCCCCTCCTGTTTACTCTGCTCACGTATGATTGTGCAGCTACCCATCCAGGCTGTCACATTGTAAAGTTTGCAGATGATACAGCAGTGGTGGGATGCATCACAAACAATGATGAGTCCAGCTACAGGCAAGAGGTGGAACACCTGGAGAGCTGGTGCAGAGAGAATAACCTTCACATCAATGTGAAGAAGACAAAGGAGATGATTGTGGACTTCAGAAGGAACAAACACATCTACACTCCCCTGAACATAAGAGGATCTGCGGTGGAAGTGGTCTCCAGCTACAAGTACTTGGGTGTACAAATGAATGATGACCTCAGCTGGAGCAACAACACTACCAGCCTGATCAAGAAAGCTCATCAGAGACTCGTACTTCCTCAGGCGGCTGAGACGAGCTGGTCTGGGAAGTTCAGTCCTCACCACCTTCTACAGGTGTGCAGTGGAGAGCATCCTGTGCTCCAGCATCAACGTGCGGCATGGAGGCTGCACAGCTGCAGAAAGAAAAGCTTTGCAGAGAGTGGTGAAGGCTGCACAGAAGACTGTTGGAGTCAGTCTCCCCACCATCACAGACATCTACACTTCCAGATGCAGGAAGAGGGCCACCTGCATCATGAAGGACTCCACACACCCAGCACACACACTTTTGCCCCGCTCCCCTCAGGAAGGAGGTTGAGGAGCATTATGTGTAGAACCACTAGACTGAGGAACAGCTTCTACCCTGAGGCTTTGAGACTCATGAATCTCTAACCAGAATAATCACTGTGAAAAATCACATCATGTTGCTGCTGATCTGTTTCATGTTGCTGCTGATCTGTTTCATGTTAAAGTGTTTATGCGTGCTCATCAGCTCACACAGACTCATGCTCATGTTTGTGCTGATGTTCGACGTAATGTTTTTATGTTATTAGTGCTTAGTGTATTTTTAGTTGATGTTTTATTCTTAGTTCATATCTTAGATGTTATCATTGTTTTTCTTTTACATTTTATTGTTGGATGTAACTGGGACCCTGTGTACATAATTTCGTTCCACCACAAGTGGTGGAACGACAATAAAGAATCTTTGACTCTGAAAGAACGAGATCTTGGATACAAGCGGCCGAAAAGAGTTTTGTCCGCAGGGTGTCTGGGCTCTCCCTTAGAGAGAGGGTGAGAAGCTCGATCATCCGGGAGAGACTCAGAGTAGAGCCGCTGCTTCTCCACGTCGAGAGGAGCCAGTTGAGGTGTCTCGGGCATCTGGTTAGGATGCCTCCTGGACGCCTCCCTGGTGAGGTGTTCTGGTCACATCCCACTGGGAGGAGGCCCAGAGGAAGACCCAGGACACGATGGAGGGTCTATGTTTCTCAGCTGGCCTGGGAACACCTCGGGATTTCCCCGGAGGAGCTGGACCAAGTGGCTGGGGAGAGGGAAGTCTGGGCCTCCCTACTTAGGCTGCTACCCCCGCGACCCGACCCCGGATAAGTGGAAGAGGATGGATGGATGGATGGAAAACTAACTTTTGCAGCTTAATAATAATTTTGGTTTTCCTGTGACTTATTTGCAGTATGATAAATGGTAGGAGCATAAAAATACACTCCCGATGTTTTGTTGTTCTTTTTTTGTACATATATGTAATATGATAGAGCGTCTCGAGTTCCTATTGTAGTGATTCACTACACTATGATGTCACATCGACTAGTTGATGTCGACTTTCAAATATATGTAGTCATTCAACCCCTACTGTCAAGTAAATAATGTAAAATAGAGCATTGTTTTCTTTAATCTTCTTTTAGTCTGTTCGAGAATTAAATTTCATATTTCCCAATTTATACTTTGTAATATACATCTGCTAATTTATTCTTCACGTGTTCCCTCAGGGTCGGTGCTGGAGCATATGAACAGGTGGTGATGAAGCGTTAGGACTCAGCCTCTCCGCGACAGACTGGCGATGACTCCACATTAAATATGGAAACACATTGTGTTTCCATTTCTATCTTCATTCCTACAGCGCACATGGTATTTGATCAGCACTGTGTCAAATCCAATCACTCAGATTCTGTATACTGAAATAGTGCCCTCTTGTGTTTATATCTGCCACAGACTAATGCTGCAGTTTCAGTAGTTATAAGAGCAAGAAGTGGTCAGATATAAATGATGCATAAAGGGATAAATGGGGAAATCTAAATTATTTAGAAACGGCATAACCTAAACTGTTAAAAAGCATTCATGGGGGGGTTATTGTGGCTGTCAGAGCTAAAACCATTCAGTTTGTGTGAGTGCAGGAAGACGTACACATCCTGCAGGGTTTAAGCATTTTAACAGGAACTGGAAGAATGACAGGAGAGTGAAATCTGTGTGCGTCATCCAAATGAACTAGAATCTAGTGTTCTCGATACATTCCTTTTCTCTCTGAATGTTCTGAGCATCTTTTAATTTAGGGTGTTCTGTTCAAATTTGCCTGTAAGCACCAAAATATTGACAACTTGTGTTTTTAAGGCGAGAATATTTTACTACAAAAAGACATAACTTAAGCTATTTTATGTGTGAACATGGACTGTGGGTGAAGTCTGCTAATGCATTCACTGTGTACCAAAACCACTTATTAATAGCTATAATCCTCTTTATTTTGGATAAATGAAGGATGTTTTAAGTAATACGGTGTTGGTACTAACAAGAGCATAACTTATGTAATCACACAAGTCCCTGTTCTTATTTGTCACACTCCAGAGTATGTTGTTGAATAAATGCAAACGTATTTTCCTAACCACATAAATGAATGTAACACTGAAGAAAAGTTAAATTGCTGTTAAAACAGCATATATCCATTTATGTTCTCTACGTAGAAAAAATAACACCTACTGTCGTCTTTATTTACTCACCAATTATCTTTGAGATCCTAATAGTGTAGTTTTTACACTTCATTAAATAAAACCTAGATGACTGGGGCTAACCTGCTATAAACTTTCCGCATCGTACAATTTGCATACATTTTTGACTGGGCACAGCTTTCTGCTTTTCTAAAATACTAAGGGGAAAAAAGTAACACCGATATTTATAATATATAAATGTCCTTTTCAGTTTTAGATGTCTAAATATTGAATAATCATGCTTTGCAATTGTGCAACATCACTCCAGTCAGGCCTGCTGCTCTGGAAGACATCACGAACTAAAGAGTTTGAGAACAGTTTGTGAATTTGATGCATAATCTGCAGTTCGTTTATAATTTGACTGCAAAGGACTAGTTAAGTAATTCACTGCCAAGAAAACACTGAAAGGCTCTTGCTTTTCTAAATGTCCAAAGTATTAGAGCAGGTTTATATGCATACCTTCTAGCATCATATCAGTAGGTTAGAACTGAGGACTGCCTTTCAGTAACTCAGGCAACACTTTTCTGTCGGCGCTCCAGACGGATCAAACCTAATGAACTAATCTGCTAAAGGTTTAACATTCTCAGTGCCCTGCAGTGCAACTCTCTGCATTTCCAGCCTTTTAGGAGTTTGAGCTCAGCTTTGAAAAACAAAGTAGCCAAAGTGCACAACACACTGTTATTACTTTTTACAGTCAGACTAAAGACGAGTTTATAAAAATTAAAAACTGACTGTACAGCATCTTTAATCCATCTACTGTCAAGTTGTAGAATTAAAATAAACGCCTCATCTCGATAATTCATTCCTCAGAAATCTGTCCGTTTTAAACGTCTGATCGTTTTTGTTTGCGTCGTCTGCATGATTATATTTAAAAATAACATTTTCAGCCAATTTTTGCATCACATTTAAAGATGTAGCCATACCTTTTAATTTTTCCCATATTTTATATTGTGCCAACTTTTTTTTAATCTGTCGTCACTCCAAAGGAATTTTGTTTTCCCCGTTCGTTTTATAGGAAATCATTCAAAGCAGGTAACCTGCGCAACTGTTGTAAAACGTAATTGTCGTTTTGTTTTTAATCGTTTAAAAGTCCAATTTTAAAACCATATTTAAATATCGCTTTATGTTTTGTGTTGATGTGGCAATTTTTTGATAAATGTTGTCTGAAAATTGTCTTTTCAAAGAACAGTTTGGTATCGAGCGTATGAATCCTGTCCACTAAATGGGAAGTCAGAAGGGTTTATTTTTGGGGGG